AGATATACCATCCTGGTCCACATGTCATTGACTCATGTGGATCCTACATGTCATTGAGATACCGATGGCATATCTCAAACTTTAAAAAATTATAATGGCATGGTTCCAAATTACCTTAATTTTCATTGGGAAAGTATGAAACAACGGATAAGAAAGATGCCTTGGAAATTTTTTTTTGGGCTCAACACTCATATTAGAAAAAATATGCTAGGACTACCAGTAGAAGTTTATGATAAATAAGGTAATACAGTGTGCCTTCTCCCCACATTTTGGTCGATTTGATGTTTATTTAGATAAAGTCGAATTAATGTGTGTTGTTTAATAAAATGGAGTCTATCTCGTTGTTGAATGTTATTTTGTTAATTTTAATGCTATATAACAACTTTTGAGAAAAAGAAACAATTATAGTCTAGCCATTTTAATTAAGGAAATGTTTATTTATACTATTAGCTGTTATGTCACTCTTCCTAAGCTTGCTTTCATCCATATGAAGAAATCGGTATTCCTGAACCTAATGCACTAATTACCCTATACGCATTAGCAGACAGAGTGAGAGGCCGAGAGCTATGGCAGGTGCAAAAGCCAAATTAAATCACACACAAAAATCTTGACTTGACCGGCAGAATCATTCATCATTTTGTCAAAGGAAAACTCAGCTACCACCACTTTACTGTAACCAACCAACATTCGATCATTAGCTTTCATTATATCATTTAGGAAAGATAGAAAAAGAAAGTCGCCTCCACCTCCCTCCCTCATATGCACATAGCATTACCCACCACTTCCTCTCTGGCTCTAGCTCTATGCTCTTCACTAGTCATAAGCTATCAAAGTGAAAGAGAAACAATCAATATTTGCACCTGCAATGTCTAATCTAACTTTGCTCTATTATAATAAAAAAAAAGTAAGATGCATATTCCTATATTTTGTTATATAAGAAACATGAAATTTGGGAACAATCGACCCATGCACTTTGCAGGTCATCCAAATAGCAACAAAATACTGTAAAAAATTGTGAACATAGATTACATCATTATATATTAGTCTACAAACATGCATAGCTAAATTCAATCAATAGTATAAAAAAATATAAATCCAAGTATAAAACAATATTTTTTATGGACAACACCTGCCCTTTTATATGTCTTTGAAATAATAAAATAGCTGTGAAATAATTCAACAACATAGGATTCACCATCATATATTATTTTGTAAACATGAAAACTAAATTAAATATACTGTACATGAGAAAAGAACATACTCCCTCCGTTTCACAATATAAGTTATTCTAGCATTTTCCACATTCATATTGATGTTAATGAATCTAGATAGAATGTGAAAAATGTCTATCTCGATTCATTAACATCAATAGAATGTGGAAAATGCTAGAATGACTTACATTGTGAAACGGAGGAAGTAACAAATAAAAATCGGTGGGACATATACCATTGGCCTTTGTCATGTCATCCAAATTACCACAAATAATTATGAAATAATTCAATAATACAAGTCGCATCACCATAGATTGTTATGCAAACATGTATAGCCAAATTAAGAAAACAAATTTAACTCAAATATAAATAGTCCAAGTCACTACATAAAAAATAGAGAAAAATTCATAAAACTACAGATACTTTGCATGATCTATTACAAAACTAAAGATTTAAGAACTTGTTTCACAAAACTACAGATTCAGTGTCTTCATTTATCACAAAACTACAGGTTTTAGCATGGTTAAATATGTAGTTTTGTGATAATGGAGAAATTAAATCTGTAGTTTTGTGATAAATGAAGACACTAAATGTGTAGTTCTTTGATAAACGAATACACTAAATCTATAGTTTTGTGAAACAAGTTCTTAAATATGTAGTTTTGTGATAGATTGTACAAAGCACCTGTAGTTGTGTGATAAACGGTGACCCTAAATCTGTAGTTTTGTGAAACAAGCTTTTAAATCTGTAGTTTTGTGATAAATTGTGCAAAATACCTGTAGTTTTGTGAAATTTACTCTAAAAAATATAGTGGCTTTAATTAACGAAAATAATCCAATTTTTTCATGTTTTTTTGAAATTAATATAGTCAAATAATCTGAGTAAGCCAAATGATCTTTCATGTAATTGCTCTAAACTATATTACGTTACCATCTAACAGATTTTTTTAGGTACCATCTAATAGATTTTAGGTGGTGTTTAATGCATTTTTGGTATATCACACATATTTATTCAAGCATGTATTCATAATAAATCACATTCCAAAAATAATAATAATGCGTGCACAACTAAATTTAGCCCTCTGATTGTATTTACGCTAGGCTATACGGAACCTCACACGCTCTACATAAATGTTCATAGATGGGATGTTTCCCACACTATGCAATAATATTGGACTCTACAAATCATGCATTTAGTAAACAGTGAAAACCTACATCGGTCTTACATGCTTATAAAAAAGGTGGTTGTTTTCTTTTTCAAGAAAGTTGACATAAAAGGTGTAACGCTTCATCTCTATTTAACATATCACAAATTTTAAACTTAAAATAAGACTTGCATAAAACAAAACAGAAAATAGAAAAAAATGCCAATATGAAATACATTAATTGAAACTAATTGGAGAAAATCTTATAACTTCTTTTTCTTCATACTTTTCACTTAAATTGAAACAACCATTACCATAATCATTACATCATTTTTTTAATTAAGTGCTTAGATATTAATGATTTTTAGCAAAATTTGCTACAGGAAAAAAAACATGTAATTGGCTGTGGAATGTCACAAAAATCGACTACAAATTCGAGAATGCAAGTTACGCCGCCACCATTTCCACCGATCTAGCGTGATCCGAACCCATCTCATCCACAGAGATCCGAGCACCCTCAGCCCAGAACACCCACGGATCCGACCCAAACACACATCCCAGCGAGACACAGCGGCCACGGGAGGAGACGAAACCCGGCGAGGCGAGCCATCATCGCTTATTACCATGGCGCGTAGAACTTGATGAGGGCGGCGCAGTACTCGGTGAGGGCCACCACATAGTCAGCAGACACCGTGGAGACCGTGGCGGTGGCGAGGAGGAGGAGGAGGAAGGCGAGGGCTTTGAATTAGATTTGGGGAGTCGCCATGGCTGAACGCTTGAGCTGCTAACTCGTGGGAGAGAAGACAAGAATGTTAATACCCAAACCAAAGGGAGCGGATCTAAAGGGCAAACTCATCTTTTCTATGTTGTTTCTTCCTTCATTTGACCTGAAAATAATAAAAATAATAGCTTTAGTGTCCTCTAGCAAATTACACCTTTTCTTTTGGAGTGTATGTGAGCTAAATCAATTTTTTTTAGATGTTCTACAGTTAATTACACGGTTTTTTGTCCTGTAGCAAATTTTTTTCTCTATCGTATGCCACTATATTATGAATTTCTCCACATATTATTGTAAATATAAGCAAAATACTAATAAAATCTTTGATTTGAAGGAAAAATATATGAATTTTGGAGGATTTCATCTCTAGAAAAAAATTCATATAAAGGACTTTAAAACAAAGGATTTAATCATACCCTATCCTTTTGAAATTTTTATGGGATGAACAATTATATAGAGATTTTGGTGAAAATTTAGCAAGAGTTCCAACCTTTTGAAAATGTTCCTTTGAGTCTATCTCTCTCGTCCAATTCTTGTGTTTTTCCTGCGGTCCAATCAAACGGTTATTTCTATATTTTTCCTACGTTTTGCACTTCTCTGTTTTTCATTCCTATCTGAATCCTGTCTATTTTTTATTCCTCTGTTTTTTCATTCCATACAAAGGGACCATAACGTTACAGCACATAGAGTGTATAAGTTATATTTCTTACTATTAAATTTATTTTTAAGGGTCAAGTTGATTATATTTTTCTTTTAGAAAGTACACTAGATCACACATATTATAGAGAAACAAGACCTAGGGTGCATGTATATCTCCTCTGTTTTATTCATATGTAAGTAATATAAATTGCATCACTATAAACTAAATAAAAGGAGGGCTAACTAGATGATACAAATAAAACATATTTGTTAGCAATTATAGTCTTTTAAGATTTGGTAGAAAAAAAGATAGCTTCTAAACATTCAATTCAAAAAAATAACACCTACCTTTTAATTTACATTTAATTTGTTAGATATGTTTTCTAACAGACTAATTCTGCCTTATTTTAGATGAGGAAGAAGATTATAGATAATTTTTTAAGAGTAAATTTTACAAAACTACATGTTTTATGGTTCAAGTTACAGATATATTTTGACACTTGGCAGTTAAGTACATATATTTTGGTAGTTTAGTTTCACAAAACCACACTATCGATGAATGGATTCACCCGTGAGATGACGTGGTTGTTCCATCTAGGATGAGGACGTGGTATCCTATTAATTTCGTACAGGTAATAGGATGCCATGTCCTCGTCCTAAGTGAAACAGCCACGTCATCTCGCGGGTGAATCCATTCATTGATAATGTGGCTTTGTGAAACTACACTACCAAAATATATATACTTAAGTGCCAAATGTTAAAGTGTGTGGTTCTCTGTAACTTGGACCACAAAACTATACGTATATTTTTGTGAAATTTACTCATTTTTTAAAGGATGATTAAATATTATATGGCATAAAGCTAACAAATAGGTTAAAAACTTATCCAAACAACGCATCCTATCATGCATGCCCACGCTATCTTCTAGTTCTAATAATAATGAACTATGTATTGATCTTTATTGAATTTGGCAGAGCCGGCACAAACTGAGTCGGGTCAAGACTTATTTTTCCAGCACGTGAATTTTAAAGGTGCCGTTTAGAATTCAGCTTTTATAGGGATGAATTAGAGCATGTACAATAGCACTATTAACATTAACAGTGCTGGCTATAAACATATTTTAATAAGATAAAAGATAAGAGAGAAGAGCAGCGGGCTATAGATCTGTAGCCAGCTGCAGCATAGGCTTCAAGGCGCAATGTATGTATGACAGGTGGGACCATATATTAATAGTAGGAAAAAGTATGAATTACCCCATTAACTATCGTGGTCGACCGAATTACCCCCTAAACCCAAAAACCAGACATTGCTCACCCTAAACTTTCAATACCGGATGAATTAGCCCCCTCAACTTAATTCAGAGCAGTTTTGTCCTACGTGACTACACGTGACAACCCAATCAGTATTTTCTTTAAAAAAAAAAGTTGTGGGACCCACCTGTCATATCTCCCCTTCCCCTCCTCTCTCTCTCTTCACACTCTCTCCCTCTCTCTCTCTCATGGGGCGGCACGGAAGGAGTACCTAGTCTCGGGCAGGCACCCGAGCGCTGCGAAGAAGTGCAAGAGCACGGTCAGCGGCGGCGCGCACGCCGGGAGGTCGCCGGCGAGGAGCGCGGTGAAGCCGCACGGGATGGAGCACCTTCTTCTTCTAAAGCTTTTCTGCCATTGCAACGGCGGCAGTGGAGCTCGCTGCTCGCATCGCATTGCGGAGAGTAGGGAGGTGTGGTGACTTGAGGCGGCTCCGGTTGATGGGCATTGGCAGCAGCTCGAAAGAAGGGGAGCCCCAGGAATAGTGTGCATTTGTGTGTCAGTGAAAGCTTGCTATTTTGGGAGCTCAGCGAGTGGCGGGAGTGTCGTGTCATGTCGTCGAGTGTTCTTCTCGCTCCCGCCGCGTGCATGGCGCCGTGGAGCGGCTTCTGGGCCGGCAGCAAGCCCGCCCTCGCCGGCGCCGGCGAGACGCCGGTCGTCGTCAAGATGGACAATCCCAACTGGTCCATCTGCGAGATCGACATCGACGCCGACGCCGACGACGACGACGGGGAGTTCTTGGCCGGCGGACGACGGCGAGGCAGGGGCAAGAACGCCAAGCAGATCACCTGGTGCAGCTGCTCAGGCGCACCGCGCCGCGGGGTGCCTCGCCTCCGCCGCCGCGTCGCCGCCGGGCGGACGGATGATGCCGACGCCGAGACACCGTCGCCGCGTTCCCGGCTCTACGCGTTCATCAGGGCATCGCTCCTGTTGTCCGTCTTCCTCCTCGCCGTCGAGCTCGCCGCCAACGCCAACGGCCGTGGCCACGTCCTCGTCGCCTCCGTCGACTCGTTCCCTTCCTCGTGGGTGTGCTTCCGCGCCGCCTACGTCGCCCCGCCGCTCCAACTCCTCACCGACGCCTACGTCGTGCGCTTCCTCGTCCAGAGCGCCGACCGCCTCGTCCAGTGCCTCGGCTGCCTCTACATCCATCTCAACCGCATCAAGCCTAAGCCCATCTCCTCGCCGGCGATAGAAAGAGAGCGGGGGGCTGGGAGAGAGGTTGGGCGAAGAGAGGGATGACAGGTGGGCCTAGGGGTTATTTAACTTTTTTATTTTTGCTGACAGGTGGCGCCACGTGTACTAGCTCAAATCAAAACCGCTCAGAACGGTGTTGGTCATTAGTCCGGTATAAATAGTTTAGGGTGTAAAATGTCTGGTATTTGAGTTTACGGGAGGTAATTCGGTCGACCGCAATTGTTTAGGGGGTAATTCATACTTTTTTCTTAATAGTATAGTAATCAACTATTGTATGAATTGACTATTAGATTAGCTATAGATGAATTGGAGTTAGTAGTGGACTGTACTAACTTGCTCTTAGAAGAATAATACTCGAGGACAACGAACAAGATGAGTGTGGGCACCTTCGATCAAAGACAGAGCGGCTTTCGCTAGCATTAATCATGGTCGTGGTTTCGGTTATTCAGTAGTAGATGCATTTGCTGCAATCAATGTACGCAAGGATAAGGCCAATAGGGAAACCCTACGTAATTAAAGTTTAACGTTCTCCCCGTTTTCTTCTGTAGATAAAATTCCTATCAAGTAGAGCATTTAGTGCGTATAGGTTTTGACGACTTCCTTCTTTGTTTACAGAAAAGTTAGCCGATTTTTTGAACTACTCGTCCTATGTTGTTATCCTCGTAGCGAACTAGCGCAACGAAACATCCCGTACGTAGTAATTAGCCGGTGACAGTCGGCACAATGTCAACTAGAGGAGGGAAGAGAAGATAGATAAAAGTTTTGCACGGTAATATAATTAGTAGCCTATTATCATTTGTTCGTTCACATGTCAGCCTAAAAAAATAAATTACTCCATCCGTTTCAGGTTATAAGACGTAAGTCGACGAAGTTTGTATAAAAAAGTATTAATATTTCCAACCCAAGATAAATTTATTATGAAAATATATTTAATTAATTATTTAATGAAACTAATTTACTATTATAAATATACTATATTTGTCTATAAACTAAGTCAAACTTTAAACAGTTTGACTTTGACCAAAGTCAAAACGTCTTATAACCTAAAATGGAGGGAGTAAATAAACTTAATTATAGTTGTTTCTACTTAAGACTTATGTTTCTATGAATTTTTTTCATCGCAGTGTTATACTTCCTCTATTTTTTAATAGATGACGCCGTTGACTTTTAAACATATGTCTGACCATTCGTCTTATTCAAAAATTTTATACAAATGTATAAGATATGAATCATGCTTAAAATACTTTGAGTGATAAAACAACTCACAACATAATAAATTATAATTACATAAATTTTTTTGAATAAGACGAATAGTCAAACGCATGATAAAAAATCAACGGCGTCATCTATTAACAAACTGAGGTAGTATTTTTTTAACCCTTTGCCTTGTAAACCACGAACAATACATTTATATTTATATATAAATACTGTACCTATAAATTATCTTTTTATTATTATTTGTTGATATTTCTATATCGCTTATCAGTTTGAAAGACACTTGTTGCAAGATAAGGGCACACATTGAAACACTGTCAGCTCGTCACACGCCATATATCGAAACCGTGTGCTGTTGCGTTGGTCAAATGTGAAATGCCCTACGGCCGACACGCCCCCGCTGCAGGTACACTTGCATCTCCCCAAATGACGGCTACATACACGAGTAGTTGCACTAATTGCACCCATGGGTAACATCGCAGTTAATAGCGTCGTCACCGTAATTACCCCCAGTTGCATACATATGGCCGGCGACGGCGACTAACTAGACTACTAGAGCGGCGGCTGTGGCCCCACCCGTCAGCCACCGGTCGCCTCCTATAAATAACCCACACGCTTCCGCATCCGACAAAGCGAGCTCAGCGGAATTTTTTTGAGGATTAATATTATTTTTATGGAAAATCGCAAAAGTAGTGGCCAACCGGGGAAAATCGTGAAAGTAGGTCCCTGTCGAACGGGTGCAATTCGATAGGGCATCTATCGAACGACGGGCAGTCGACAGAGCCCTGTCGAACGGCTGGCGTTCGACACGCTCGCCTGTCGAACGGAGGGAGTTCGACAGGGCCCACCACCCCGCGCCGCCAGGCCTGTCGAACCGGGGGCGTTCGACAGGTCCCTCCACCGACCCTGTCGAACAATGGGCGTTCGACAGGCCGGTTTAAAGCCCCGTCTCCCCAGCCCGCGATGCTTGTTCGATTTATTTGAGGACCACATCGCCAGCCGCCGTCGAGAGTCGCCACATCGTCGCCGTGAGCACCGGAGGGAGCGAGGGGAGGGGATAGCAGGCCGGAGAGGAGGCGCCGGCCGGGAGGAAAGGGTTGGCGACGCCCTCCAGCAGTGAAGTTAAGGTATACATTAGTAATCCCTAAGTACAATGCATATGAAAGTTTAATAAAAAATTGGTTTAAGAGTTGTTAATTGTTTCGCATTGTTCAATGTTAGTATGTATGGTTAGCACATATTTGTTATTGCTAAATGTTGGTAGAGGTATTTAAGTAATTGTACGGTTAAATTAGTTCTTAGTTAGTACATATTATTGATATGTTGTGTGTTAAAATATGTACAAAGGTGTTATATTTTATTTGGATTATTAAACTAGTTGTTTGTTACTAATAGTTGTAAATTAGTACACGGCAATGTAGTATAAGTTGTAATAGGGTAATTATCGAATGATTAAATGATTAAACGTGAGACTATTTGTCATGTTTTATCAGGATGTCAGGTGATATGCCCATTCGTCTGTATTATGGCGATGCTCCTATACAAATATGTGATAGCGGGGTGGATTTGACTGTATATGCCTTCCATGATACTAGTCTGAATGCACCGGAGCATATGGGTTTGAACGACGTGTTAGGGTGGTTGTATAATATGTTTGGGGTAGATCCAGTGCATGATAAATTTGTCATAAATGCCGTGTGGCCAGTGAGGGGTCAACATGGATGGCAGTGGAGAGTAGTGGAGGTTGCGTCAACTGGGAGTTGGAGGAAGTTTGTTAGTAAAGTAAGGGAGAAAGGCTATAGCCTGGCAATAGTGGTGCAGAAGACAAAATGTGTTGATCGATCGGGGGAGTCAAGTCATGCCGTGGTGGAAGAAACTCCGTTGGAAGGTGGACAAGCTGAAAATGTTTGGCGGACTGAGCAAGGTCGAGGGGAAGAAGTAGTAGAGGGTAATACACAAGGAGAGGTCATTGTTCGTGGTACTAATCGTGAGGCCAACGACTCGGACGATGAAGAACCGGATTCGCCTATGCGTGTTGATGCAGCGGAGGAGAATGAGGCGGTAGTGGATCAGATGGAAGTGGAAAACGAGGAATACATTGCGCTTGTAGTGGAAGGAGAAGATACAACACTGTGGGACAACGAAACTTACATACCCGATAATTGGACGACCATATCAATGAGTCGTATGAAGGTAAACGATGGTTTAGATGCCCACTGGTGTTATGATAGTAAGCAGGTGAAAGTTGGACAGATGTTTCATGACAAAGGTCACTTACAAGATGCGGTGAAGAGGTGGGCATTTGTCCAGAAGCGTGAGTTCAGGGTGAAGGTTTCAAATAGGACGACGTATGACGTGAAGTGCATACAGGGTGGATGTCCTTGGAGAGTGCATGGTTACAAGCCACAACATGACACTTTATGGGTAGCTTCGAGGGTTGAGCAACATACGTGTTTGTTGGAGAATACCCGTCTGGTGCACAGAAACCTGACAGCGGCATTTGTGGCACAAATGGTATATTCAAAGGTGGTTAGAAAAACATCTTTGTCCCCTTTCACCATAATGCATGACGTTGAGAAAGAGTACGGATATGAGATATCGTACGACAAGGCTTGGAGGGCAAAACAGAAAGCATTGGAGATGAGGTTTGGAACTTATGAGGATTCTTATCACAATCTTCCCCCACTATTGGAGGTGATGCAGGCAAGAAACCCGGGCACACACATGGCTATTCTCGATGAGGTGAATGAATATGGGGAGAATGTTCTTCGTCGGGCTTTCTGGTCATTTGGGTGCATGATAGAGGCCTTTAAAAATTGCATTCCTTTGCTCTGTGTTGATAGCACTTTCATGACAAGCAAGTACAGAGGAACAATTCTAACCGCGATCGGAGTCGACGCGGATAGCCATGTCGTTCCTGTTGCTTTTGCATTTGTTGAAAGCGAGAACACATCAAGCTGGCTATGGTTTTTGCGGCACATTAAAATGTGTGTTGTTGAAAACAGACCAAATGTGTGTGTTCTGCATGACCGACACGCCGGTTTGCTATCAGCGATACAGAAGCTTCAAGAAGATGTCACACAGTCCGTGCCATGGCCAGATTTACATAGCAGATGGTGCATGCGACATTTTGGGGCTAATTTTTATAGACAATTCAGGAGTAAGAGATTGATGGACCTGTTCAAGAAGTTATGCAAGCAGAATCAACAAAGAAAGTTTGATGCCATATGGGAGCAACTGGATCATTTGACCACTACACACATGGAAGAGGTTAGGAAAAAACCCATAGTTGCCAGACAGGAGGAGCCGGAGGGACTTGAACCCATTCCTAATGAAGCACCAAGTATTACTCGGCGCAGGAAGCGTGGAAGGGCCACGAAGTGCTTCACGGAGTGGGTAGAATTTGAGCCAAGGGAGAAATGGTCGTTGTTGTACGATACAGATGGATTGAGGTATGGTGTGATGACAACAAATCTTGCTGAAGTGTATAATTGGGTTATGAAGAATACACGACCTCTACCACTTGTTGCTATCCTGGAGGGCATCACGAGGGGTACACAGAAGTATCTCTGTAAAAGGTATTCCATGGCTAGTCTGAACCTCAGCAAACCCAGTGTTAAGTATAGCCCCGCTATTACACAGTACATGGATGAGAAAAGTAAGAAGGGAGGAATCCACAGAGTGTGGCCTGCTGGGAATAGAGAGTTGTTATTTGAGATACGACTTCGTGACAAGAGTGGTGTCGGCATTGGGACTACTGACATCACATTGGAATGCACGTTGTGGCCAGAGTATCACGCTTGCAAATGCAATTGCAACAAGCCTTACCTGTTACATCGGCCATGTTCCCATGTTCTTGCTGCTTCCGCAAAAGGGGGTGTTGATGGAAACATTTTTGTTTCTCCCTACTTTAGAAAGGAATCGTGGGAGGCAACTTGGCGTGGTGAATTGCGTGGTTGGCGTGCCGTGTGTGATTTCACTCGTCCTCCTCCAGGGCAAGCCAATTGGGTTCCTGACTCAAATTTATTAGTTGATACTAAGGGTCGTCGCCAGTCACGCAGGATCAAGAACCTTATGGATGAAGCTGAAGTGAAAGATCGTTCTCGTCGTAAGAAAGCTTGCATTCTTTGCGGGGAGAACCATTCCCGTAAAGATTGCAGCATGTACAATGTAGGGCAAGATGCCACAGGCGCTGATGTTCGTCGCGTTCCAAAGGGGAAGTCGAAGAAGAAAAATAATCCTTAGTTCGCTATTATCCTTGGTGGACTCCCTACTTTGAAGATCGTTATCGTTCAATTTATGTTTAGTGCGTCTGTAATTTTAATTTGAACTTTCTTGCACTTTTATTACCCGAATCTATTTGTAATGGCCTTGTAATTTTCATTTTGAACTGCACTGCACTTTTAATATCGTCATGTATTTGTATTGGTGGACTAATTTAAATTTCGAACTGCACTGCACTTGTAATATCGTAATATATGTGTCGTGGGCTTGTAATTTTAAATTGAAATGTACTGAACTATTCTTATCTGTATCTATGTGTGCTGGTACTGTAATTTTAAATTGAAATGGCATGCAAATTTGTTAATTGAATTATGTTGCATACATTTATTGTACTGTTACCATACGTGCATTGTACTAATGTGGTTTTTGATCTGCAGGTATGGCTGATCAAAATGATGGGCAGCTGATAGACAAGGAGATCGATAGGAACCATCGATCGCGACGTCTTAGTACAGGAACTTTCTGCAATGTGCTAAAGATGCGAGGACCGGATCAATATTGGCGTATTGATCCTCGTTGGGTTCCAAGGTGTGTGAAAATATATTGTTTTTACTAATACAAGGTGTTTATATTTTCATGTATTAATAACTTGCGCTCTGTCATGTTGTAGGCTGAGAGCAGCTGGGTTGTTGACATTTGCACGGTTGGTCGAGCCTTCACGTGCAAGGTCCGAACGAATCCACATTGACGCGGCGCTTATGAGTGCTCTTGTCGATAGATGGAGGCCTGAGACCCACACTTTCCACCACACAGTTGGAGAGATGGTGCCCACTCTGCAGGATGTGTCTTATTTGTTGGGGCTGCCGATAGCTGGGCCAGCAGTTGGCCCAACAATGGTGAATGCTGGATGGGCGGATGACCTTCTGGCCAGTTTTGGTGGTGTGCTGCCTGTTGCACTGGAGGATCTCACAGATGGGCACGGGCCTACGAAAAGTTGGTTGAATCAGTTTCGACAGGATGTCTTCCCTGATGACCAGGAGGAGTGGATCGTGCAGCGGCACTTAGTCGCTTACCTGTTGTGGTTGTTTGGATGGGTGATGTTCACGGGAACTCACGCTGACTCCGTGGACAAGCACTTCATCCACTTTGCGGAGCAGATTGCAGAGTTACCTATCGCGGAGATTCCACAGTACAGTTGGGGGTCGGCGGTACTTGCGGCGACATATGCCGAACTGTGTGATGCTTGCGTGAGGAACAGCAAGCAAAGTTCACTCCCTGGATGCCCGTTGCTACTTATGTTGTGGGCGCACGAGCGCTTCGACATTGGGAGGCCTCAGCTTGACTCGTACGCAAACTACGGTTTGCGAGAGATGTACAGGTCTGGTGTTGATGACATCGACGATCGTCCCACTATGGGATCCTTGTGGACACACCGTGAGGTAATTTTTGTTAAATTCGTTTATGTTATCATTATGAATACTAGTTCACAAACTTTCCTTATATGACTAATGAAAACTACTACTTGTTACAGCCGCAGTGGGTTAGCGGGACGACACGTCGTGTCTACACTCAGTTTGTAGCTGACTTTGATCAGCTTACGCCTGACCGTGTTCGGTGGACTCCCTACACTCAGCACGATGTCAATGATCGTGCACCGCACGGTCTCGCGGATCTTTGCACGCGAGATATGCAACTCTGGAGGACGACTTGTCACCTCGTGGTGGACGTGCACGTCGAGCCACACAATGTCCACAGGGTTCTCAAACAGTTGGGCATGTATCAGGACTTCCCTCCGAGAGATGGTCGTCCTTTGGCTGATAGTCTTCATAGGTTAGTTCACATCACAGTTGTTTAATCCTACATTTTTTAAAATAAATCACTGCACAACATTTTTTCTGATGTGTGAATTTGTTGTTGTGCAGGTACTCCAGAAAGGGGCTCGGGCTTTCCTACGAGCTAGTTATTGTGACCACGGTTCAGCCGACGGTACAAGAGTGGGAGCACGCAGCTGATAACTTGGCACTTCAGACACCTCCAGACGATGGGAGTTATTATGGAGCTTACCTTCGTTGGTACCGCAGTGTTACACGATGGAGGTGTTTTCCTCCACAAGGAGATAGCACCGTCCCCCACCAGGCAGCGATTACTGACACGTTTGCCCCTCAGCCTAGATCAGCTTACAACTCAATGGTACGTGTTTATTTGTGGAATTTGAGCAACTAGTTCAATATTTTTAAAAAGTTAGCAAGTAGTTCAGTATGTCTAATAAATGTGCAATTGGTTCACCTAGTTCCTTTTCTTACATAAATGTGGAACTAGTTCAGTATTTATAAATGATGTGCAACTGGTTCATTATTTCTAACAAATGTGCATCTTGTTAAATACTCTTAATAAATGTGCAACTGGTTAAATAATTTTAATTGCCTTGATTATTTGTGGAACAGGCGGAATTTGTTGAGCACGTTCACGTGGAGTCCGACACCCTGCTGCAAAGACTAGAGGCGAGACCTCCAGTCGTCAGGTCTGACGACGTGACGAGTGTCCTTCGCAACTTCCGTGCACGTGCTGCCGCACTACTACGTCGTGTCTCCTGTCGGAGCGCGGCAGATGTGGTGCAGACGTCGGGCCGACGGCCATCACCACCACTACCCCGACGTTCCAGCGTGGATCGGAGTGGTCCATCCTCTTCACGTCGCGGGTACGAAGCGGCCCACACATCTCACGGTCGTCCTTCCTTTCAGCACACCCCAGCACCGGAGTACACCAGGGGGTCAGCCGGATCAGGGGTACCCACGTCGAGCACGGCACCACCACGTCCGCAGGTATTCCAAACTCCGCCTTATGTTCACCCCTCGCAGGGAGCATCTGGGTCGGCACACTTCCCTTACATGCCAACGGGGGACAACGTGTTGAACAGACCAGCATGGGGACTTCATATCACTCCGCGTGCGCCAGAGCAGGGCCACACACAGCACACATGTAAGTCATTTTAAACAATAACACGCTTTAGTTTCTAATTATATGTATCGTTACTAACTACGCCATATTTTTTGGTTTCTCCCTCTTGTACAAACAGACGATGAGTACGGTTCGGCGTCGACGCATCACGGAGTGCCTGCTTACTCCCCTCGCACAGCATTCATTGAGGACTTCTTTTCCACTGATCCTCCCCAGGGGGAAGTAGGGATGGATTACTGGCACGCAGCACCTCAGGTCACACAGCCGACGCAGGAGACGGAGGCCGGTCAGGGGCCAGACGTGACACCACAGCAGGCAGCTAGAGATAGGCACCCCCCTGATAATTTGACATATCCCACTGAGCAGATTAGGCGTAGGAAGAAGGGAGGACCTAGCAAGCGTGCGAAGGGCACTGATCGTCCTTGACTTATCTATTTGTATTAAACTTTTAGTCATTTATGTTCTGTCCGTACTATTTGAGAAACACTTTACGATTAACTTAGTACTATCAGTACTATTTCATAAACTTCTTCGGATAATTACTCAGTAGCATACCCTTCGAATGAATCATGACAAATTATCATTCAAATATACAAATAATGAAACTAAATAATTCAAATATTTTAACCAACAAATAAATACTACAATTTCTGACCAAACATTATCAAAACCCTAAATCACATACATATAACATTACAAAAATATTTTCCTTTCTTACACACTAAAATAAATTACATATTATTAAAAAAAATAACTTATTACAAATAAATGGAGAACGCGACCCTGTCGAACTGTGGCAGTTCGACGGACATCCTGTCGAACTGCGGCAGTTCGACAGCCCAGCCTGTCGAACGGGGGCTGTTCGACAGCCCTGCCTGTCGAACGGGGGCTGTTCGACAGGTCCTGTCGAACGGCAGCCTTCCGATCTCGTCGCCAGTCGCGCTCTGGCCGTTCGATAGGCGCCCTATCGAACTGCACCCGTTCGACAGGGACCTATTTTCGCGATTTTCCCCGGTTGACCACTACTTTTGCGATTTTTCATAAAAATAATATTAATTCTCAAAAAAATTCAGCTCAGCGCGCTGTCCCGAATTCCGAAACGAGGCCATGCATTCGGATTCGGACAAGACGAAGAGGGTGGCGCCGCCGATGACGTGGCCGACGCGCCTGTTCGTCCTCGCCGTCGGCTGCGGCGCCGACGCCACCTGCCGCGTCGACGGCATCATCAGCTGCCGCCTCCTCGACCTCCTCGACCCGCCCGTGCCGCCCTCCGCCGCGCCCAGGGAGGGTGTCGCGACGCGGGACGTCGTCGTCGACCCGGCGATCCCGCTCCGTGCCCGCCTCTTCTACCCCTGCCGCCCCACCGGAGGCGAAGCCGGCGGTGGCGGTGGCGAAGCCGGTGCGACGAAGCCGCTGCCCGTCGTGGTGTTCTTCCACGGCGGCGGGTTCGCGTTCCTGTCCGCGGCGTCGCGGGCCTACGACGCCGCGTGCCGACGCATCGCCAGGTACGCCGGCGCGGCCGTGCTGTCCGTCGACTACCGCCGCTCGCCGGAGCACCGCTACCCGACACCCTACGACGACGGCCTCGCCGCGCTCCGCTTCCTCGACGACCCCAACAACCACCCCCTCGCCGCCGACGACGGCGACGTCCCGCCGCTCGACGTCGCCCGCCGCTTCGTCGCCGGGGACAGCGCGGGGGCCAATATCGCGCACCACGTCGCCCGCCGCTACGCCCTCGCCGCGCACACCTTCGCCAACCTCCGCCTCGCCGGCCTCATCGCCATCCAGCCATTCTTCGGCGGCGAGGAGCGCACCCCCGCCGAGCTCCGCCTCGTCGGCGCGCCCATCGTCTCCGTCCCGCGCACCGACTGGCTCTGGCGCGCGTTCCTCCCGCCCGGCGCCGACCGCACCCACGAGGCCGCGCACGCCGCCTCCCCCGCCGGCGCCGCCGGCATTGACTCCCCGGCGTTCCCTCCGGCCACGGTGGTGATCGGCGGCTACGACCCGCTCCAGGACTGGCAGCGCCGCTACTGCGAGACGCTCCGTGGCAAGGGGAAGGCGGTGCGCGTGCTGGATTACCCGACGCCATCCACGCCTTCTACATCTTCCCGGAGTTCGACGAGTCGCTCGACCTCATGCTCCGGATTAAGGACATCGTCGCCGCCGGCGGCAGCGGCAGCGGCGGCGAGCACTGACTTGTCGGCGTCGCGGTGCACGAGGACGAGCTCCTGTGGTTGGGGGTGAAGTGGTGATTGATTGGTGCTGCGTGATGTGGGAGTGGGTGATGACGTGGAATGATTAGGCAGCATGCCAGCCACGTGTGTCACTAGGCACTAACGACCTAAAGCCAATAGCAAGATGACGCCAATAGCAAGATGACGCGTGGAGTAGTCTTTGTTGCATAGTAGTACCCCGTATACCTCGTGTGTATGAATAATTTGTTAAAAAGTAGAGGTTGCCAATAAATATGATTTATTGTTTGTGAGTTGTGACAGATGAGGTAGTGATTTAAGTTTGAGTTTCGATTGTAACCATTATATAAAGAACTTCCCTCCATTACATGTTTTACTTTTTACTCCATCGGGGTGGTAATACTTGTAAATAAAATTAAAAAAACAAGGTTAAAAACAACTCTAACCGCTGTCTATTGTATTATTAAAACAATTTTAAAATAAGACACCACGTTCGCTGTGGAAATTAGAAATAACCACATTAAATAGAAAAAAGGGAAAGAAGAATTCTGATAGAAACACATTTAGAAATAATTGAAATTCAAAATGAAAAAAAATTAAAAGAATAGTCCATGTAGAACACAATTAGAGATTAATTGAAATTCGGAATAAAAAATTAAATAAAATTGGAGATTGGAAAAAATAAAATAAGAGTTCAAGTAATTTACAAACAACCAAAATTTAGAATAAAAAATAAATATTGAAAGAATAGTCCATATAAAACATAATATGAGATTAATTAAAATTCGAGATACAAAGTAAAATAAATTCCGAAATTTGAAAACGAAAAATAAGAGTTCAACTAGGAATAAAATTTTTAAATAACCAAAATTCAAAAAAAAAAGACTATTGAACATGAGTTTTTAAACGAATCAAACATGACTTGCTCACATATCTAGTTTTTGGAGGTTCACAGCATAAAAAAAAAATTGTTTGAGTGATAATTGTTCGAGCGGAAAAGGTTTCTCCAGTTCATGATTAATGCAAGAGAACGGTACGTTATGAAATGGGTTTTAGTAAACAGGAATATTAACCACCTGAGACATGCATATCGTGCAGATTTTTTTATGTATATGCATGAACCAATACACATCTTCAATGAAAAACGTAGAAAGATTGATAACCAGAATTCTAGCTTGAACAGATAGTCAGAAAGCATCAATCCATGATGACATAGCTACAGATCCACAAATTTGTATATGCACAATTCAGATCAAGAATCATCAGAATATAGGCTACAGTTTTCCTGGGTTGGCATGCAGTTTTCGAGGGCAATATAGGTCATCTGATTAATACAATCTTTTATGCCTTGCCTCCTAAACAAACATATTTTATGGCTTCACTTCTCTATTACATATGGCCATGTTGAACATCAAAAGACAAAACAGAACATTTGGCAAAGGCTAGATTTCAGTCACAATTTTTTTTACATGCCTAATAATGTCTAACTACAATGAAGCTGAGAAATCAAATTCGAAATGGGACATCCAGTTTTACACCAATGCCTATGATAAAATGAGCCATACATTCGTTGTCATTTTGATTGTGTTAGCACTTCATGACAATGCCTATGATAAAATGAACCAGATATCAAATAGTCGAAACCAAATCTATAATGTGTTAAAAAAAAAAACCTCCAGTCGGTGATGGGCTAGCTAATGGCTACATGAATCCTTCCTGTTGGGCTGGCCTGGGGTAGAGTTTCGGCCTGAAGCTGGGCCATAAGCGTAGCTGCTCAGCCGTCTCAACAAATTGGAATAAGTTCACCATCCTTCCCTTAACTTTACGTTGAGTTTGTATGACATCCCTAAACCCCAAAACCAGAAATGTTCACCCTTAAACTTTACAAAACCATGCAATTTCGGTCCCATGGCAGTATGGATATCTGGTTTGCTGACGTGGCATCCTACTCAGCAAAATAAAAAAATAAAAAATTGTGGGACCCACATGTAAGTCTCTTCCTTCTTCTCTCCTATCTTCTCTTCTCTTTTCTTCTTCTCTTCGCTTTTCTTCAACAATGTTGGCAGAGAGGGGAGACTTTCCCAACAAGGAAAAACAATGCGGTGCCGTTTTAGAAAAGGAAAGAAAACGGTCCCGCGAACAGATACGGTTCGTCATGCAAAACGAAACCGCGGACTGAGAAGAGAGTGAATTGGGCATAATTCACGACCAAAGGCAAATGAGGAAGATGTTTATCCTTTAAGTTCTGTTAGTGATTTTCAGAGCAAAGAGAATTCGAAAAAAATTCTTCCTAACAATTCCGATTATTAAATGCATTGCTAACTGGGGTTTTCTTCTGGTTAACTAAAGCAAATTCTTGAAGCCATTTATTAGTGATTTGAAACCTAAGGGAAGGGAAAATCCGAGTGTGACAGACAGGTGGCCGCCAAGCTCCGCCGCCTTGAGCGCCTCGCGACAGGAGGGGAAGGGGGAGAGGGGAGGGGAGAGGCGCGGCGATGGCGCCATGGCAAGCCTCACCGCCTGTGGGTCCCGTCATAGAGGGGGCGCAGCCGCCGCCGCCTCTGGATGACGACTTCGACCACCCTGATGAGGTGTCTCCCGACGCCGTCGTCTTCCTCTCGACAGGACGGCACTGTCCATCGCCATGCATGACTCTGCGGCCACGTCGAGGCACCTGCACAGGAGGAAAGGGAGCGGTTCGTTGGGTGCGGGTGCTGGTCCACGAGGGCGTGGTTGCTGGAGTCCGGCGCTGAGCACGACATTGTCGTCGCACTGGACGGTAAGGCGGAGGTGCCAATGCTGCGCTGCTTTTGATTCGATCACATTTACTGCTACTCGAGATCAAGATCTTGGTATTACTCATCGATTAATTAACTTGTAGTCAAGAGGGTGCGGTTGTTCGTCGGTCAGGAGCCCTGCAACATGGCGGAG